TTTTGGCCCACCCTTGTTTTTGGGTGTTTTCTGATCATATTATATATGTGATTGAAAATAGGAGATTTGGGGATATTTTTTGGGACAACCAGAAATTGTTGCGGACAACCCGATTTGATGCCGGGGTTGTCCGCAGGACAACCACATTTTTTTTCTTATTTCGAGCACTGCATTATGTAGCCAGCTGCTAACAAGTTGGTTACTGCAGTTTTAAAATGTGCTGTCAGTTTCCTGCCCAGAGCACAGGCACTTGAAGCGTTTCAATAAAATATAATGCTAACTAAATAAGAAATCTATTTACTATCAAATTCTAAATGTTTCTATACTCTCTTTCACCTATTATTGCCGACAGTTTCCCGTCAAATCCTACGTGCAACAATATACGCTGCCGGCGCCATTGCTCTCGCGGCTCCACTGTTGCACGCTTACACTATATATATTATTGCAATTGCAACAGAAACATTACTTCTGTAATGCAAGATAGTAGTTTATTAGATAGGGTAGCACTGTGCACAATCATAGGTAACTGTGATATTTTTAAACACTTCGTAATTATTCTGTAATCTGAATCTAGATCTTTTCCAGCACTTTGTTACACTTTCTAAACTAACTAGCTGTATAGTTATTAAGTTGTTGGGAAGTACACCGATTGCTGTTTTAGGTAGTGCAAGTGGTAGGCTATAATGTAGCCAATTCAAATTGCTATTAAACATAATTCATGTTTATTCACTAGATCACTCAATTATTAAAATGGCTTAAATCTATGAAATTACCATTGCATGTTCTCATGGATTTGCCTAGATACAAATATGCAACCCATCAGAGTAGCATTATAATGCCCACAACCTCGTCAAGTTGCAGGTGCAGCCTGAGTAAATTGCACAGGGAGGTTATGATTTATCCTTGGGCTTACTAGCCACAACTTACCTTCTTACTACGTGGCGAGAAGGTCACAAGTTAATGCAGCAACCAAACCTTGCAGCTAACAAAGTGCTGTAACAAAATGTAACAATACCAAACTTCTGATGGCTCCTACCGCTTCTCTGTACTTCCACAGCATTATTAATCACATGCCCGCTATTGCCAAGTATGTAGCTAGGAACGTGTGTAGAACAGTCGCAGAGCCTGATTGGGCTATGGGCTTACATCATGTAAGTAACATAGCTCAACAGAAGTCTATTTAAACAATAATCTGTTTTCATCATCCTGAGTGTTACAGATTACCACAATATCGACTGTACAACTTCTATTGTACTAGAGTAGATCATTCAAACGAGAACAATCAGCTTCGCACAGACTAGGGCAGTTGATTCTGCATTTGTCCTGTGAAACGTGATGGCACTGATTGAAGCGAGCGTCGTCTGAATTAGGCGCTCACTTGTTCTGTGTAGTGTTTAATGAGTTTGTGCACAGTGTTAGTATATTAGTACTAGTACTAGCACAGCCTCAGGCGATAGAGTTAATAATCATTAAGACTGGTGGTAGTGACTAGTGGTAGCAAATAATATTATTATTTCCGTTGTTTACTATTATTTTATTACTGAAACTTGAAAGTAAACGGGCCGCTTAAGTGCATGTGGCTTTGCTTCGCAGCGACTGAGCGAGCAGGTTGTACTGACTACTGTCTAGTGACTAGACTATTGTCATTGAGTATTGTAATTTAATGGCTCGTAATGAATTGTATCGAGTAGGCCCTAATGATCTGCCGGGGCCCGGGAGAACGCCGTGGCATGAGGCTGAGCCGTGAGCGGTCTCCGATTACAGTCGAAAGCAAGAAATGGACAATTCAGTAATACTTACGCTGAAACCCTCTGTTTTGATGTGTTTAATTTCTTGTCATCTGTATGAATATTTATTAGTGTAAATCATTATAACTATATAAGCAAGTCATAATCAAACGTTCGTGTTGTTTATAATCGGAAGCATTGCTGGCCGAGTTGAAAACAAGTGCCGAGCGAAACAACAGAACAGCTAAACTGTATGTATCGGGACGTATCGTTAAAGTGATTACGTCACGAATTTCTAGCGCCATGAAGTAGTGATGAAGTAGTATATTTGTATGTAGACTGGTACTCGCTCCCGCCTCGATTACTCGATGGGTACCTAAGCCGATAGGTGGGACCGGGTACCAGTCTAATTTGTGTGTTATTTGTACAAAATAAAATGTATGAAAATACAATTAGTGTTTCTGTTTACTTTTTATGCTTATATACCTCCTAATTTGCCGGTGAAAAACAGAGAGACGCCAGTATCTGAACAGTACTGGGGGAATAGTGTTCAACAACAGAAATTACCAAATCGTCTTGATTTTTGCAAATTAAAACATTTTTATCAGGTGAGAGTTTGAGAATGTATTTAGTATCGATAGTTCTTACTTTTAATGTAAAAAAATGACAATTTTTTTTACAAATTTTACCATGGAAAATTCGTGACGTAGTCAATTTAAAATGGTTTATTCGCACAGGTAACCCATTACCGCCAATAATAATATGTAGACGCGGTGTACATTACAACAACCATAATATAGTGTCTATATATATTTATAATTTTATATGACAACAACACTACAGTACAGTACATTACAGGGCATCAATAGGGAGCAGCCCTATGAAACAGCATCGCACAGAAATTAATTAAAAATACTTTTTCTAGTTTCAGCGCATACACGACACACTTTATTCATGCTACAGATTGAAAGACATAAATTGAGGCACTTCTGACAAATATAAGCCAGCAAGTAGTCCTGAGCGAGGCTACGACAAATTTTGCTACTTCACAGATTGATAAGTGGGCCGGTTGCAGGTTCCTTATGGCCCTGTCACACCTTGACGATTAGGCCGGCGTATCAAAATTTCTCCAAAACGCTGGCGTACGTCGAATAAGTTATGGGTAAGTTTTGTATAAGTTAAGAGCACGCTGGTACACGTCGTAGTACAGCGAGGTCGTAGAAAAATTTTGTGCATGCACAAAATTTTCGACGTATGCCAGCGTATGGCTCATACGTCCCGCATACACAGGCCATAAGTTGTAGGCAAGTTATGTGATTGTTGACACACGCTCACACACGTTACTTGGGCTGAAGGGGTCGTTGTCGTATAGGGTACCCTAATAGGTACCAGGTAACAGGTAACCCTAACCCTAACCATATCAGATAGTTACCTCGGGTACATATATGTAGTACTCTATACGACAACGACCCTTCGTGCGTTACTTGTAAGTTACTCATAAGTCGAAATACGTCGAGATAATGTCTAGCGTACCCAAAACTTATTTCTAACCTATGAGTAACGTGCTTTGAACCTATGTGTAACTTATGGCCCTGTCACACATTGACGATTTAGCCAGCGTATGCCGGACGTATCAAAAATTTGGTGAATACGGTGGCGTACGTCGAATAAGTTATAGGTAAGCTTTGTATAAGTTAAGAGCACGCTGAAGCACGCTGGTATACGTCGTAGTACGGCGAGGTTGCCTAAAAATTTTGAGCATGCTCAAAATTTTCCGACGTATGCCAGCGTATGCCCATACGTCCCGCATACGCGGGCCATAAGTTGTAGGTAAGTTATGCGATCGTTGACACACGTTCACACACGTTACTTGTAAGTTACTCATAAGTCGAAATACGTCGAGATAATGTCTAGCGTACCCAAAACTTATTTCTAACTTATGAGTAACGTGCTTTGAACCTATGTGTAACTTATCTCCAACGCATATTGACGTATGTAGACGTATTTGACGTGTTCCGGACGACCACAGAACTTACTGAACGTGTTTCTAACTTACAGCTACCGTATAATGGCGTATTGGCAGCGTTTAGGGGAATTGGTATATAAAAATGGTATTGGCATGCTGATACTGCGACGGTGATGTTGATACTGTGATGTCTAGTGCTGTTATGAATTGAATCGTCGAGCGGCAGCCTTTTTATAGGCTACGACATGTGATCGTTGGCGATACGCTGCCGCGCGCTATGCATAAGTTAGACTATCGTTGGGCATAAGTTGTGAACGCCGGCAACACGCTAAGCATTCGTTGGTATAAGTTATCTTATAAGTTATCGAAACGTTCTATATACGTTACTAATACGTTAAGTATACGTCCAACTCGTTATGAATACGCTATGTATACGCCCAAAATTGAAAAAAACATCGATAGTTCAGCGTATGCCAGCGTTTTAGAGAAATTTTGATACGTCCGGCATACGCTGTCTAAATCGTCAATGTGTGACAGGGCGTTTAGGGGAATTGGTATATAAAAATGGGGTTCACAGGAGGAACTCGTCAGTACTCCCCAAGACTTCATGGTGAGCAGATGTCCATGTCATCCGAGAGATAGAGGATCCGGCAAAGCTGAGACGAGAATACCTACTAGCTGTCCTCCAACATCAGCATGACCCCATCGATTGGACACTGTATCAGTTGCGTGCCAATAGAGCCAGAAGAAGAAGAAGTGAACTGGGTGAGACCATGGATCGGGAGGCCACGGCAGTTTGGCATGTATGACCAGCTTATGGTGGAACTCCGTAACGAGGACCATGCATCCTTTACCAACTTCCTGCGTATGCCCCCAGTGATGTTCGACGAGCTGCTAGCCAGAGTGGGTCCAAGGATAACTAAGCAGTACACCTTCTACAGGGATCCGCTTGAGCCTGGCATGAAGCTGGCCCTGACTTTGCGTCACCTTGCCTCTGGGAACAATTATGCCTCGATGAAGTTCGGATGGAGGGTCCCTCACAACACCCAGTCCCTAGTAGTCAGAGAAGTCTGTTAAGCCATTATTGACGAATACGTGAATGAGGTGCTGGTTTGCCCAAGTCCTGATGGTTGGCGCGCCATAGCTGACAAGTTCTTCCAAAGATGGAACTTTTCCCATACATGTGGGACACTTGATTGGAAGCACGTGGCCTGCCACTGTCCTCCAAAGAGTGGGTCCAAATTCTTCAACTACAAACGATTCTACTCCATTGTTCTGATGGCGCTTGTGGATGCTGACTACAAATTCATTTGGGCAGATGTCGGTGGTACTGGATCAGCATCAGATGCGCAGATATACAATGACTGTGAGCTGAAGAAATGCGCTGAAGACGGTACCCTAAGTTTCCCTGACCCTGAGCCTCTTCCCAACGACAACCAGGATGTGCCATACTTCTTTATCGGTGACGATGCCTTCGCCCTACGACCAACCATGATGAAACCATACAGCCTCCAGGGTTTGACGAATGAACAACGCATCTTCAACTACAGGCTTTCCCGAGCAAGAAGGGTAGTAGAAAATGCTTTCGGCATCCTAGCTAACAGATTCCAGATTCTGCTAAGTACCATGCAGAACCATCACCCCTCCACTGTCAAGCTCATTGTCAAAGCATGCTTGATCCTGCACAACCTCATGAGGACCAGGTAATTCATGTTTACATAGCATATTTTATACAGTATACAATGCATTTTAACTTTTAGCCTATAGAATTTATATGATTTTACCTTAAATTTTATATGTATCATTATATTACTTTTCATTGTACAGCGCCTTAGAATATGTTTTTATTATAGGTGCGTTTTATAAGTAAATAAATTCAACTTCAAATTCAAATTGCAGGTACCCCGGACTACAGAACCAGCGACTTGACCGGGAAGAGAATGAGAACCGCGACTTTGTTCCAGGAGCATGGCGAGAGGAACGTCACTTGGAGGATACACAGACAGCTAGTGGACCCAACACTGCCTCCAAGGACGGAAAGAAACAGAGGAATCTCTTCAAGCACTGGGTTAACTCCCCAGCTGGTGCAGTTCCGTGGCAAGATAGGATGATCTAGATGATATTTGTATTACTGCCTTGTTTAGGCAATAAAGGACCTCAGAGACAATAAGATTCCTCTTGAAATAAACATCGTAGAAGAAGCTATTTTTCAATTATGCACTTTGATCCATACATGTACAATTTGTAAATATTCAACAATTATAATTTTTCTTGTTAATTTGTAATATCTTATTATCTAAATAAATAAACGTATCACTTTGTTTGTATATTATATATAAATTAACAGTTGTTTTGTTTTCATTTATGAGCAAGGATAATGTCCACACTTATTAAATAAAAGCTATTAAAGATAGACACAAAATATATATTAAGCAACTACTTTTCATTGACATACAAAGGATAAGGGCATAAGGAATAAAGCCATAAGTAATTTATTATTGTTAATTATTGTTTATGAATTAAATATTAAAAATAACATCAACAAACATCAAGAGTTTATGCAACTTTTATTTAGTGCTAATCTGAAAAATAATGGTACATGATAACAATGGTCATACATGTACATGTATATACAAAATGGCACAAAAATGGCCAAAACACTGTCTCTGCTTATCCTGAGAAGCACACAACTGTCACTGTCACTGTATTTAGTTCTTCTCTGGTGGTGGATGTGTCTTCAGGTAGCTGGTGATGAACTGGGTCGCACGGAAGCAGGGACAGGAAAGGTGGGGACTCTGGGAGGTTCTTCCTCATCACTCTCCTCGTCCATCAGCTCACTGAGGATGGTGTTGATGCGTGACCGTGCCTTCCGGAACTTGCGCTTGGACATGCTGACCAGGCTGTCATGCACGTAGTTGGCAAAGGCTGCAGTAGCTGTGATGGGCTGAGGCTGTGCGATACCTTTGAGGAGCTCCCCAGACTCGTGCACCCTCTTCTGGAGTGACTGCAGCAACTGGTCATCGTCCTGGCCACGCTTGCTCTTGCGCTGTGAGGATGAGGAGGGGACAGTGGAGGGCTTGCTGTCGTCATCAACCACAATAGCTGCACATGCAGCCTCGGCAGCCTCGAGGTCCCCGCTGTGTGCTGCAATGGTTGCCTTCACCTGCAATTATGGCAATTGATTAGTAAAATACAAAGCAAAAACACAAGGCAAATTCAATGATTTGTAATCACAATAAAATTAATATAAATAAATATTAATATTAATATTAATATTTGTTTATACTTACACTGTTGACGGGCTCAGCATGATGGCGGACCACAGTCTTGAGGAAGCCGAAGTTTGCCTTCACCCACTGCTCCCTCTCTGTCAGTTCCGGGGCGCCGTCACCGCTCTTCTTCTTGTCGAGACGGGTGTGGATGTCTCGCAGGGACTTGAACCACCCTTGAAGGTGCTCGACAGTTTTCCCCATGGCCTTGGCTTGATCCTCCCAGAGCTTTGTCTTCTTGTCCACCTTCCGGTAGTCAGTCTTTTTGATGTCCCAGAGGATGACGTTCTCGCAAAGGAAATCACACATGAGCTGCTCCTCTTGGACATCAAGACAAAACTGTGTCTTCCTGGCCCTCTTCTTCTTGGCAAGGGTTGGCTGAGAGGAGGTGGAGGCCACGGACGCAGCTACCGATGCCACGGACGATGCCCGAGAGGCGTTCGAACCTGCATCATCTCCATCAGAGGGTGAGCGTGAGGGTGTGGGTGATGATGAATCCTCCTTGCATTCACGTCCAAGCCCACGGCCACGAGACTTCTTGGCAGCGTTCTTCAAAGTTTTCTTCGGCATGACGGTGATGTTGATACTGCGACGGTGATGTTGATACTGCGACGGTGATGTTGATACTGCGATGGTGATGTTGATACTGCGACGGTGATGTTGATACTGCGATGTCTAGTGCGGTTATGATTTGAATCGTCGAGCGGCAGCCTTTTTATAGGCTACGACACGTGATCGTCGGCGATTCGCTGCCGCGCGCTATACATAAGTTAGACTATCGTTGGGCATAAGTTGTCAACGCCGGCAACACGCTAAGCATTCGTTGGTATAAGTTATCTATAAGTTATCGAAACGTTCTATATAAGTTACTAATACGTTATGTATACGTCCAACTCGTTATGAATACGCTATGTATACGCCCAAAATTGAAAAAACATCGATAGTTCAGCGTATGCCAGCGTTTTAGAGAAATTTTGATACGTCGACTAAATAGTCAAGGTGTGACAGCTAGCCTGACACTGACAGGGCCATTACGTGTGATCTGTTTGATGCTCTCAGATATAGAATGTGTTTGCCAACAGTTACAACGGCAGAAGAAGAAGAATGACCAAATACTTATTCATCTGGAATTTTACTTCATTAGCAAATGAAAAGTCATCCCATTGAAATAGGTAGGTAAAGATAGCGAAACAATAAAGCCCGATACTATTCGATACGCGCGAGAAAGCCGCTCGTTCTCGATCAACACGCCGAAGTAGAGTAAATTGAAAGGTGCAGTCACGAAATAAAATGTGTTTATAAGCCTAATATCAGTATTATCTTACCTGGAAAGTATATATACGTATCGTTATCGGCACTATAGTTGTTGTTTCTTAATATTATATAGGTTTCGGGGTAGTTAATTTGTATAAATGGTAGAACATGTGTGAACCGAAGGCTTGTCAATTGTGGCGGCAACTGTACTCTGAGTCTGACTGTAGCGTAGGCCAAATCCACCAAAATCGTCGGTGTGGGCATTGGACTGGTCAGAGGAATCTCGGACTAGGCCAGTACGTGCAGTGTAAAGGCACGTGCAGGCCTGCGGCAACGGCCGAGGCTATTCGCCCGACCGTCGGGTGTGTATGTTGCTACTGTCTATTCGCCCGACCGTCGGGTGTGTATGTTGCTACTGTCTATTCGCCCGACCGTCGGGTGTGTATGTTGCTACTGTCTAGTAATAGTACTAGTAGTGTATCAAAATCAATTTTGATACACTCCTGATAGTAGTATTCGCCCGACCATCTTGTTCAGTTGTTGATATCAAGAAATACAATTCTTGATATCAAGAAATATCCCTAACCCTAACCCTAACGGTAACCCTAACAATGGAAGCAGTGGCGCGGAAATTCTAAAAATGGCAATATTGCGAGATCTCGCGCGAGGATAAACTCTCGTAGACTGGTTCATATCCTTATAGACTGTCGGGCGAATAGCTAGCCTTTCTTATACACTCGACCGTCGGGCCAATAGTCACTCTCCTGCGGCAACTGAAGGCCTACGTACTACGTGGGCTATATACTAACCCTATATAAGCTGCGTTCACACGTATACACGGCCTCGCTGGTTCCGTACTTAGTTGGTGCTGAGTTCGGCTGAAATGCGTTCACACGAGATACACGAGATTCGTGGCTGAGCTAGCTAGGTATAATATAGACTGGTACCCGGTCGACAGTTCCACACGCTACACTAACGTCGTGCAGCGAACGGGTACCAGTCTAGGTTAGCGCGCTACAGTTTCGCAATTCGAATACGTTCACACAACAGACAATACGCGGCCAGCGTGGTGCCGAATATACGCGGCTTAGTTGGCACGGAATATGATTCCGCGCTAAGCAAGCCGCATATTTAAGTACGGTACTGAATAAGCCGCTTATATTTTAGCGTGTGAACGCTCAAGTACGGAACTAAAATCCTCGTGTGAACGCAGCTTATGTGAGCTGTTAAGTTGAGCGAAGTATACAGTGTATCTGTTTTTGTGTACCAGAACAGAAAATCCTCGTTCACAGGCTGCAGTAGAGGGGCAGACATTTGAGGTAGCTGATCACGTAACGACCATGCCTGGCCTGGGGGCCGGGTTTACATGTTGCTGTGTGCATGTTGTGTGCATGACTATGCACTTATTCAGTGCTAGAAATAAGAAAAAAAATGTGGTTGTCCGCAATCGGGTTGTCCGCAACAATTTCTGGTTGTCCCAAAAAATATCCCCAAATCTCCTATTTTCAATCACATAATAATACGCTGTGGCTATATGCCCGGCAGCCGGGCACGGTCTTCGATTTCCTAAATGCCTGGTATTTCCTAACCCTAACCCTTATTATGAAACGCTGAAAATTAAAAACTGCCGGGCATTTAGGAAATTGAAGACCGTGCCCGGCAGCCGTCAGATATATGCCAGCTGCCGGGCATATAGCCACTCTGATAATAATATGATCAGAAAACACCCAAAAACAGTAGCGTAGCCAGGATTTTTTAACAAGGGGAGCCAAAAACAGCGAAAACTGCGCAAAATAGTAGATGATTTAATATTTTAATGGCTTCTCTGCCTCCCTCTCCACACCCTAAGGCTCCTCTACCTCTCAGCTCTGCAATCTTTGTTTTGGGCGCCATGCGAAAAGACGACATTTGGGCAATTCCACGGTAACGGAATTACAATTCAGATAAATTTTTGTCTTAGTTTTACCTGCCATGGCTTAGTCCAACAGCTGAACTGATGAACTAAACCCTTATTAGTTCTGCTGATACCCCTGCTTTTTTGGTAAAAACATAGTTCAGAGAAATCCCTTACGCGGGAGGGAGTGTAACCAAAAAAGTGTCGGTAACGGAATTTCGGCAGA